ATTGACAAACTGCTTAAGTTCAATTTTTTTTTTCTTCACTCGATCATATCATTAACCATGTTTTAATCTTTATTCAAACTCCAGTTCACTTGGAAATATATGCCATAAAGCCGGTCAAAGAATTGACAGAATTTATTGAGCTTTTTTGCGGGATTTTGCCTAAAAACATTTACAGATTAAGAAAGACACAAAATTTCATGTAACCATAGCCAACACAGAGAAATTATTAAAGAAGAAAAAATGTTGCCATTAGTAATTTCCCTAAAAGAGATGACAACTCGCAGGGAAGCACGGTAGTGAAAGAGTCCAATGGTAGTAGAAACAAATAAACAGACACCTCCTTGTGGTGATACCAGCAACCCAACAAAGATAAGCCGACACTTCTCACTTTGAAACAATTTTAATAGAAGTTATCCACACAACAATGGAAGTCAAACGATAGTATAAAAAAGCACAAGGAGACATATATCTACAATTATAGATCCTCACCATGTCATTTATCTCTGCTTCAGCGAAAGACTTTCCATCAACGAGCATTCCCCACACAACTTTGTTGATTTGCAAGGAAATCCGCATTGCATAAGAGGGGCTTTTATTTTTCTCCTTTTCCATTAATCGTAGCTGGGCAGCTTTCTGCAAAGCTAACCTCAAAGAAGCGGATGCAGCCTTTCTAGACTTTTGTGCATTTATGAGTTCCCTTTTCAATTTTTGAACCTAAAAGTTAACTCGATTATTTAGGTCAAGAACATGGAAGAATGTAGCAGAAGAAGTGATAAGAAATATCAACATGCTCGTACGATTAGAGTTCTCAAATATGTCAATCTTCCGTGCTACACATATTTTCAGGAAGCAATGAATCCTCATCTAACAATTAACGAATGAAATAATGGTGTGCATTTTCTGGTAAGACGCCTGCAATTTATGATTAGAAGTAGACAAATTAGACTATAATACGAAACTCATTCACATACACACACCCACACACCATGTTCAGCAATACAGCTATCCAAATCTTTTATTGACAACTGAGACAGGTAGGACAAACATATGCTGGGAACAAATTACTGATACTAATCAATTACACATGTATAACCTTATCTCCTGCATCCATTGATCCACCCATGCCCCTATTTTACACATATCTCCAAAAGACTAAATCAAAATCATTGCCTTTCCACATTAAGCATTATGTGTCCAAGAAAAAGAAAAATTTCTACTGAACAAAATTCAGCTTATATAACAACTGAAGCGAGAAAAATCAAATCATCCGAGCATATTTCTGCCTGATATTCTTCACCAATAAGCAGCAGATGCCTAGTTAATCTCCAATATCTATTATAGGGGCAGCGGTTCTAATTATTTTATGGGAGGCGAAAATGGGATGTATATGGGTTTACCTTGAGAAGGTCTCGTGTGTTCGCTCAATCAGGGTCAAGGCTGACCTTCCTATGAGTTTAATAAACGATATATGACAAATACATGAAAGCAACATGTATACATGCACTCTTATATGCATGCATGCACTCCTGAACAAGCACATCCAGAACATAAAATTTGCACCATACACTGATCAAAACTATCTGCAAATCATGAAACACTAGTGGCTTACCAGAGTAGACCTTCCACTAGTCACCATCCAAAGATCCGCTTCCACTTCTGCTTGTGGATCCCCAAATGTATCACCAGGCAGAGAAAGTTTCCTGATATCATCAAAAATCAATCCTTGGACCCTCTCTTTCTGTTCAAGCTCAACTTTTGCCAATTCTACTTCCTCAACACCATCAGGAACAACTTCATCCGCCTCCTCTTCAACGTCTTCGTCATCTTCGGCTGAATATGATAGGCTACTCTTGCGTGGCCTGGATCATCAACTAAATCAGTTGAAGTCCATGAAGCAGAATCAAAATCCATGGAAATGCTGCTATTCTAAAGACAGTTTGTATCTAATTAATCTTCTACAATGAGATAAAATAAGGGCCACTTTCCATAAGTCAGGATAAAATCACTGAAGACCACTGCTTATGATACGACTTTCAATTATCAGTGCATTCAGCCATTGCACCAATCATATATCTTCAGCATTTGGCTGTATGGTACTGTTAGTTATTTTCTTCTTAAATATTCCGCATGCATAAAATAGTTCCAACATAAGTCCAACACTTAACAATATATATCTCAGACATTTAGGCTGATTAAGATTTAGTCAACACTTAGTCAACACTTAACAACATAAGTCCAACAGAGGTCGAATGCTGATCTTAAACTGATTAAGATTCTTCATTGTAGACAAGCAATCCCAATAAGAACGATTACAGTAAAAAATGCATTCAAATTCATTGTCCCTTTTACTTTTCACACATTTAGGCATGGCCATCATGGTCCCAAGCCCTCGAACCGGAACCGGTCTGGATGTTTGTGGTTTTGGAACCGCGGGGTCCGGTTCCGGCTTGGACCGACAGTACCAAGCATTTTTTTTTTAAAAAAAAAACCTCCTGACGACCTGGGAGGGGTTGGGTTGACTTCGGCCGTTGGTCTTGCAACGGCTACAAAATCCAACCATTGGAAAGGTTGAAACCCACCGGTCCGGGCCCAACCTATCGGGCCCGGAACCGGACATAATGTTCAAAATTTTATTTATTTTTTTTTTCGAGAGGGAAACCCAGCAGGCCCACCTGTAGCAGGTCGAGCAAGACCCACCGTCTTTTTTTTTTTTTTTTGCTTGAACCGAAACCGACCCACGGAATGACCGGGCTACGGGCCAATGGGCCGAAACCCCGGGGGTTTGCGAGCCGACCCTGCCCACTAGCCATGTCTACACATTAAGGTATCTTGCAAGTAAATCCCCCTAACAAATTACTGGCAGTTACGCATTTAAGTGAACCTGCCATTAGTGACTGAACTTTTTAGACTAAAAAACTTTTTTTCTTGACAGACTACTTCCTAAAGTACGAAACTGTTAATTTTCTTCTTCTTTTAAAAACTCTAACATGACAAAAAGGTTTTTAACTCCATTAACAATGAATTTTGAATCGATCTTTAAAATTGAATTACGGCTTTCAAATCCCATGAAGAGACCCAACAAAATGGTGCATGATTATAGATTTATGAAAATTGATACGCCAGCAGCCGATTGACAAAGAAGGTAGGCAAAAAACTTCGGTTCAAACGTTTTGAAAATCAAAATATCCGATTTTTGAACGGAAGGGTGTCATTTGAAAACTTGCAAGATGGGTTTTCTAATGAAGTCAACAGTCAAATTTTGGTTAGTAGCCTAGAAACATGTTCATATTTTGGCAACTTAATTGACTACTAAACAAAATCCGACTGTTGGATTTGCATAAGATTCATCTCGCTGGAATACTCATCTTGTAAGATTCAAATGACACTTCCTGATAAAAAAAATGGGATATCTTGATTGTCAAAAAATTTGAACCGAAGTTTTTTCTATGCACACGTGTGTCTACCTTCTTCGTCGACCGATTACCAACGTATCAATTATCAGAAATCGATAAACCATGCCTCTTTCGTCTCATCATGGGCTTCATAAGCCTTAAATCAATTTAAAAGACCAATTCAAAATTCATCTTTAATTGAGCTAAAAAAGTAAAATATATATAAATATAT